CTCCCTTCCCCGCCCCGGGGCTGCCGCCGGCGCTTGGCTCCTTCGCCCTCTAAGTCGTGCTCCCCACGCCGGGGGAGGGCGCCCGGGAGCGCAGAAGGGGGCTCTAGAAGGGTCAGCGCGTGTGAGGGGGGGCGGTGAGGGTGCCATGTTGTAGGCCCTGATCGTTCGTCGCCAGTGTAGTTTATCCCGCGGGGCGTCTGAGTGTTACCTTCCCCGGGAGTGGGTGAGGAGGGGTTGTCAAGTTTAAATTTGAACAATTGTTATGCTGGGATATTAGAGTTTCTCTCCCTGTATTAAGGATGTGGTGATTGGAGCTGTGCATGCTATTTTTGGGGGGTAAAACTAGTGCAGAATTGCAGACAGAGGTAAACTGAAACTGAACATGAAAACACGGCTTCTCTCTTTCCTTCTGCAGAAATAAGATATGTGCACACCCTTACTTCATTTTCTGTGGTTTTTTTGTTGGTATGCATGTGTCTCGCCTACCTGTTGAAAACTCACCTCTGACACAAAACACACTGAAGCAAACATAAATAATGCATTTCACTTGACTTTTCCATATTTTTCCTAAGTGGCTCACTGGAGGATATGGAAAAGCATTGCTGAGAGTTTTAATGACAAAACTGGATAGTTTTCTGCATCAGTAACACCGTGCTTCATGTAACCCACTGCTGGGTTGTGGGAGGTCTCCATATAGTGCTAATGCTGGTGCTTGTGCTTTATCTTTACATATAAGGTACCTCTGGAGTATACAAACATATTTGGAAGGTTAGAGGGCAGTGCTTTCCTATAATAATGGAAAATACTTAACTGAGAAGAGAACTGTGTTTGATTAGGTTTTTTTTTGTTTCATACAGATTAAAATACTTGGAAGAAAAGAGTCTGTTTCAAAGTCAGCATTGCTCTTTTCAGTTAAAGCCTGTAGAAAGTTCCCAAAGAATGAGTCATGCTGCTGGTTTCCCAGTAAGAACAAGGAAGACAAGATTCAACAATTTTGTTTCATGAAGGTTAAAAAAAAAAAAAAAAGGAAAAAAGTTGCAGAAACATTCTGAGTTGTTTTTTTTTCTCCTTAATGAAAACCCTGCAGTCATTCTCTAAAAACAATAAACTTAAACCACGATAACCCTCTCACTGCTTTAAAGAAATGACTTGCGGCTATTTGAAAAGTACTGTAGATATCATTGAAACCTGTGGAGAAAGCATAGAGTGGAAGAGCATGTTTCTTTTTTTCTTTTTAATCAGTTACCAAAAAGGAAGCATAGTGTTTGTACAAACATAGGTTTCAAACTGTACATGTTTAGTTTTCTTGCTGTGGTTAGTCCTGTTGAAATGGGACAGGAGCTAGCATGTATGCATAAGATTAATCACTTGTACAGGAGTTGCAGGCTCTACTGAGGTGACGCAGTGAAGGCTACCAGGATAGACCTAGGGACTAGATAGGCTCTGGAGGCTTCCTTCTGCAACTGTGTACTTCCTGAAAGGAGACTGGGGACTTCTGGTCTCATGTCTGCTGTTCGTGGTTAGTAGCATTCGTTGGAATTTCCTCAACTAACATTAGTTTTGCTGTAGCATACAAAGGCTGCTTTCAGGATCAAAGTTTGATTGTGTTAAACACGACACAAGCACATAGTAATGCATGATATCTACAAGAAGAGGACAAAGTACACATCTCTTCAGTGTATTGTGTTTATTAAAATGTGGGATTCCTCAGCTGAGAAACGGTAAAGGGTTGCCATTTTCTCATGGTTAGCTAGCTGGATGGGTCTATGGCTTGCATGGTTGTCTTTTGCTTACTGACAAAATACCAGAGCCTCAGATAGTCAAGTGGTATCAAAGCTGAGTTACTGGTGAAACAAGGAGTTTCTTATTGGAAGATACTTGATGTTACACAGGTTTTTAATTTAGCCTAGTGATACAGTGGTCTCCTGAAATCATAACACAAGCCTACTGTAACAACTGCAACACACAGTTGAACCACAAGACAAAACAGCACACCCGTTACCAGTCCCTGTATGCTCACTGTCATGATGCTGGGTGTCCCCACTTGCCAGGGAAAAGCTCAGGCCTATTGCTCTCTTCAAAATTCGGTTCATTGGTTGCTCAGTTTTGGTGCTGTGTTGGGCTGAGCTGCGTAGGCACTTTCCTCATGCTGGTCTGGTTGACCAGATTGATTGTTTTAGGGAAGGCCATTCACGTAGCCAGTTGTCCCACTCTGCTGATAAAGCCATTTCTCTAAAACAAAGGCCACCCTTTGTGCTGGGAGAAGTTCAGCTTACTTTACAACAGCTGTGGCCACTGGCTGTGTTCTTCTCTGAGCTTCAGGGGCTCTGCCTGTCTTCTCTGACCCTTCTTCCATTGTGGGGGCTCGTTGATGGTTCACAACTGAGAAGTAAAGGATGATGCAAATGCAGAAGATTGGCTATCCAGTTCATAAAATGGTCCCTATTTTTTTTCTTTAGTATTGACTCTTTGAATTTTTTACTGTACTTGTTCAATAGCAATGAGGGTACTTAAGATCTCTGCAAAGGGACTGGCTTTGATTCTTGAATGTGATACAGGCCTGGAAATGAGAATATGAAAGTGACTGTGGTTTGTGGAGGTTGAGCGTTGATGTTATGCAGTTGAAAATAAGGCTAGCACATAGTTGCTTTGACCAGATCATCCTCTTAAATAGGTGCCTGTTTTATGAGCATGGTCACTGGTACACATGGAATGGTTTATTTACAGTCCTCAGCTGTTGATTGCTCCTCTCCAGGAAGGTGACCACTGTCACATTCAGTGATGATCCCACATAGCTTATTAGTCAGTAGGCCAATTTGGTAACAGAGTTTAATGTGTTCAGAGTATGTCTGTTTTCTCGGAGAAGCCTCTGCCATCCAAGGTGTTAATTTTCCTCCTTATCTCTTTCTCTCAAGGTTTGGACACCTAAGCGTGGCTCACATCTTGCTGGAGAATGGTGCTGATCTCAATGCACAGAATAAGTTAGGAGCCAGTGTCCTCACAATGGCCTCCAGAGGTGGCCACATCAGCATGGTGAAATTGCTGCTGGAATCTGGAGCTTTTGTAGACAATTATGACCATTTTAGCACAAGTGTGCTTAACAGCAGCAGAGACGACCTTCCTGATATCACTCCGCTCATGTCAGCTGCTCAGCACGGACATGAGGCAGTGGTGCATCTCTTATTAGACTGGGGAGCTGATTGTAATTACACTGTGAAGACTATGGGATGGAGTCCTCTAATGCTGGCAGCTGTTAGCGGAAAGGTGAGCTTGGCACAGCAGCTCATGGAAAAGGGTGCCAATCCTGATCACCTGAATGTACTGCATAAAACACCTTTCGAAATCTCTGTTGGCTTCAAACACAAAGACATGAGGGACTACCTGGAATCTCTCACAACGATCCGGCCCCAGGCAGGTATGGAGTGTTAGAGTTTTGTTTCACTTTCTTGAAGTTTTGATTGCATATTTAGAAATGGAAAGGATTCTTTTCTATGTACATGATGTTCTTTATAATTTGTACCTAGACTCTTGGAAATGTTGGAGTAGGTACACCTACCTCAGGTGAGGCAGGAATCCCCAGCTTCAGCAGATTGCTTCCATGTTAGCATGCCGACATTCCTATCCCGCAATAAAAATCATGTGAAACCTTTTAAAATGTTTTAAATGTTTTGCTTTTGTGTTTTTTTTTTTTCTTTTAAAACATGATCCAGGTGCTCATTTACGAAGAAAATTACAAAGGCTTACCTGAAATGGCACTAAGGAATGGAAATAAAAGACAGAATAGGATATCAAGAAAAGATATCGCAGACTCAAAGAAAGCCTAAAAGTTAAATAAAATTTAGAAAACCTGCCTTGTAATGAGAGATACATGTTTCTAGTTTCATGAGGAGGTGGTTAAGAGGTGCGATTAATGATGTGTTCACCTTAAGGACAGGAAATGCAATGCTCGAGGGCCTTTTTATATGACAGCCAAAGAAAAAAAAACCTGTGAGTTTAAAGTTAGAAGAATTTGAATAGGAAATCAGACACTGTGTTTTTTGATGAAGCTTAGACGTGGAGTGACTCAGTAGAGGTGTGCAATCTAACAGTTGCGATCAAGGTTAAGTGCCTTTCTAAAACCCATCATTGGATTATCTTCACTGAGTATCACATACAAGGCCTGTGACATGCAGGAAGTCAGATGAGGTTACCCTAATGATTTCTCCTAGTGCTCTGAATATATGAAACCTTCTCAAAGTCCTTTGATAGTGGACTGTGTATTCTAAGAAAACAAAGTATTAATGTGGATAAATAACAAGTCGGCATGTCTCCTGCCTTTCTGTTCCTTGTAGGAGAGGAGAATACTTAAAAAACTTCAGGGCTTCGTAACATTTATAAGCAGTCTTCTCCCCTCACATGGGAATATGCCTCTGTGTGAGTGCACACACACACACCCACAGATAGGCACATGCACTGTGCTCATGTATATACAAAACTAGATTAAAATTATGTTATTTCAATGCAAATCTTGAGTAAAATGAAGTTAAGGAGTGCGTTTATGGTTGTGTGCACTGCATGAGACAGGAGAATTTATAAGCATTTTGTAATCATGATATTAAAGTGTTATTAAATGTTTGATGGTTACTTAGCTTTAGCCATGAGCATGGAAGGATGTAAGGAATCCAGGATATTGTAGATAGATGTAATACCTTGTACTAGATGATCTGAAGGTTTAGAAAGATTTGGGAGAACTTAAACTACAACACTTTTACTTCAGTCTTAACCATTATATCCAGTACGGCACACTCAACCAAGAGGGCAGAATAGTATATTGTGTTCTTTAAAAGTATATTGTGTTCTTTAAAAGTAATTATCCAAGTTTGTTGTTTGTTGTTTTTTTTAATTACTTAGCAAATTTGTATTGTTGACAGTTTTTTATGTAATTTTATTTTTTATTGAAGATAAAGGTTAAACCTACCTGTTTTCACCTGTTGGTTTGAAATGTTGATTAATTTAGTTTTAAAATCTTTTACTTATTGTAGATAACTCTCCCAGATATCTTTCCATAGCTTTTCCTTCTAGCTAGTTCTGTAAAATAATGTTAGGAATGTCTTAAGTTAGTTTTGTTAAAGTATCATGGATTTGCTTCTTTTTCCTTCTCCAGAAGTTTGTGTATGCTAACGGAAACACATGAAATCTGTTCTTGAAATCAGACAGTTTGGTTTTGTTTGGACATTGTGTTGGACATTTGAATGTCAGTAAGTTATTTCAGAGTTTGACACCTTATCCTGTATGTGGGTGTTTGGGGACGTTTTCCAAGGTATTTGTGCCTTATGATGCAGACAATCCTGGGAGGTGCTTAAGAAGAGAGTTTGGAAGAGCTGCATCTGGATTTTTTGAGCTTTGGAGTATTTTCTATGAAATCTAAGGAGATGGCTTACCCTAGAAATAACCTTTTCCAAATGCTACCACCCATCCAGCTGTGGTGGTAGAAAGCTTGTAGGGCCGGATAGTCCACTCCAAACTCTCTGCCACATGTGATACCCAAATACGCTTACTTAAACCTTATCTAATTATGTGTATATTACACTACTGTGTGGACATGTCCACAATCCCTCAGATTGTTAATTTTTATTTAAAATTGATGTCATTCCTGCAGGTCAAGCTTCCCTTTTACTTTTTAAGAAGCAAGAACAAATATCTGACGTTTCTTTCTGATTCAGAGGAGGTGTTAAGTAAGTTAGATGTTGACTCATAGGTTAAGTTGGAGCTAGGGCTTTCGTACAGCCATGCTACCAGACGGAACTGGCTGACTGCAGACATTTGCTCATGACCAGTCTTTGGGGAATAGACCTCAGCTGCTTACAGCACACCGAGAGAATTGGACATCTGTGAGATTCACTAGTGCAGTGCTTTGTACTTTGCCCATGCATTTGCATACGCAGAAGGAACACACAGGCAGAGTTGGCCATATGAGTCTTGAAAGTCTTCTGTACTCCTGTGGCTCAGAGGATTGAAGCAGTCTCTTTAAGCTAGGAGAGTGGACTTGTGTTAAAGCAGGTGAGTGTTCCTCTCACCTCTGCTGAGGGGGAGTTAGTAACCAAGTGGGGCAGAGAGGGGGATAAAAATGTTATGCTTCCACACAAATTTCTGCATTGGTTTTTGACCATGGCTTCAGCCTCCTCCTGGCACGGGAGTCTCAGAAGAAGAAAGATCCTTCCTCTCATACTGAAGGCAGCAGAAAAGGAACTTGTCTTCTGATCCATTGCCATAGGTAGGGTGAATTACCTCCCAAAAGAAAGCAACTCTCTTTTCAGGACTGTTTCCAGTAAAATATTGAAAACTACCTGAGGTGGCCTGAGTGTTGGCTGTGTTCTGTCTCTGTCCTTGCTTCAGCTTACCCGGACGGCAGTCCTTCCTTCTCCTCATGGTCTCCTGCTCCCTAAAGCTGCCTCTCTTCCAGGCTTTTCCCAAGCCAAGTACAGAGTCTGGTCCTTTCCTAAACTCATCTCTTGCAATCTCTTTTCCAATGGTGAGCTCATGCACAGTTCCTCCTGTAGGAGCAGCTTCTGAATCAGAAGAAAACGTAGGACCCCGCGCCATGAGAGGTTTCTCATGGGTTTTTGGGTTTTCCAGCAATTCCTTTTGTTCAGCATTTTTTAACTACCTTCCCTTGGAGTCAAGCTATGAACACTAACCTTTTCTCTATTATCATAAAAATGACAGAATTTGGCTCAGGAAACTTCTCAATGTCTCCTTGTTTTCCTTTAAATAATTTTACCCCGTTGATTCTGTAGTGTCAGTAATGCTTTGGAAGATGGAGGAGGATGTATTTTTCTGGCTTGTGTGGAAGGTACATAATATGTTGCTACTTTTTCCTCATCATACATAGTGTCATCAGTTTCAAAGTACTTTGAAAGCATGTCAAAGGAATGATCCTTCACTCAAAATATTAAAATTTTTAATAAGTGCAGTTCTAACTAGTGGGATAGTGATCTGGGAGCTGAAGGATCTCTATTAATAATAATTAATAGCAAGCAGTGTAGTTAAATCATCACTATCATTTTTGTGACTTTCACGAATTATCCTGGCAAAACTCAACAGGAAATGAAAACGAGGCAGCTTGTAAAACTCCTTTTGAGTCATCTTTCGAAATAATCCTGTAATATTTGAGTGTTTGCTGTTGTACAGAGGATTACACCAGACCACAGAACCGTACTGCGGTTCTTTAATTGATATTTTAGTCTTCCAGGCAGGAAGCACAGAAGTTTCCAAATGCAAATTCCTGATAGAGAGTGGAAGTTGAAAAGGCAAAAGCCTGTACTGGTGCTTTATTATAGTTTGTACCTTTAGCTCTGCACAGAGAACCATGCAGGTGAGTTACTCTTCCCAAAGGGAATAAAAAGATTATTGTTGCTTTTTTGTTCTTATTAAATGTATGTGTAAATTTGTGTTTTATATAACTTTATGTAAATTTAAAACTAGTTTTGCTATAAAAATTTTACAAAAAATATTGGTTGCTAATGGAGATATTTATATTTTTTCCCAGATACAGAAAAGAGGCAACCTGATGTCTTCCATGCTTTGAAGTTGGGTAGGTGCTGACAGGATTCTTCCATCGCGTCTGGTTCTTGTAATGTCAGACCATATTAGTTTGCTAACATGGGAAACCAAGACCTGTTTTTACACGTGACTTTTTTTTTCCTTATTTTTATTTTAATTTTAAAAATACATCTATTTCTGTGGTTTATTTTTCTTCACACACCAATATGAGAAAATCTTTATGAACTTCTGGTTGTGCCCTTCATGCCAAAATGGTGTGATACAGTAGTTCCAGTTATTCTGAGACCACGCTAACTTTAATATGATTTTTTTTTTCCCTTCCTCTCAAACTTGAAGTATGAAAACAAGAGTGCTAATTGGTGCACAAAGTGTGCTGGCCTTTATTCTGTATGAGCAATGTAATTGCTCTTTAAAGTTGCTTCAATAAAAGAGTAAGTGTCTCGAATCTTCCCTGTTGTCTCATGAACAAGAGTGACTTTCATGAGCCCACCACTGGTAGAACTGTTGCGTGGTAAACAGGAAGAGCCAGTGCTGTCCTCTTGATTTAAATTTGCTTCAGGCTCTAATGGGTTGCACCTGTGGTGGATGACAAGCTGATTTCTGATTATATATTTTCCTCCGCCTTCCAGCATAGAAAAAAGTGCTGAAATGATGGGTTTGCTTTCTGATGTCTTTGGCATGGGAAACAGGACTGTTCACTTTCTGCTGAGGTTCCTGATACACAGGTCACAGGTCAAAAAACTCTGCACTGTTCGCAGTCTCTTTGACAGTTTAGAGAAATTCAGTACTTGAACCTTATCTGACTGCTGCTCTTACAATTGATACTTTGGCATTTAAATATGTTTTCAGCTATATGATGGCACACTTAGCCTATTGCCAGCAGTCCTAGCTGTATAGGCAGTAAGAAAAAATAATAGTAAAAAAAGTTACTCACTCATAAAGAAAAGTTCCTGATGGATCTGTTTTTTATTTTTTTTTATTTTTTCAAATATTGGAAGATGTCATTCTCATGTGAGATTCACCTTATGTCCAGTGAAGTCATGAGAGGTGTCCTATGAGACCTAAGAGGTTTGTTTCTTCTCCAGTCAACCTGCCTTTACTTGGGACTAAGATGCCCCAGTCAATGAGGAAACCTTGGTAATACAGCCCTGTGCATGCAGTGCACATAATAATCCTTGCTGGGGCTGTGCTTTCTATGTCTGTGGCATAGAAGATCTGGTCGTACTGCACTGTAAGCTGGCTTTACTCCTTCTGACTATGATATGCATATACAGAATAAGGCAGCTTTAGGGTTGAGCACACCTGCCTCTCATTTCAGCTTTTTTGTCTGTGTATCCACTCCTGACTGTAAAATAATCTTGAAGCCTTTGGTGTGGTTCACCTTCTTGCTTTCAACAGGGAGCTGCAACCTGAAGAGACCTCTGAGTTAGCAACTTTCACAGTTTCTGATGGATTTTTTGATCTCTTACTGTTAGAAGTAGTAGTAGTAGTAGTAGTAGTAGTAGTAAATGAGTGACTTTTGTGAAGGAAAATACCATTTTTCCCTGCCCAAATATATTTCAGCAGTGCATCTTTAAATTAACAATTGTCTTCCATTTTTTATTGTTGCTGCATTCCTGTTGAAAAGTTAGAGGCGTGTTTGAAATGGTCAAGCCTCGCCTTAGCATTCAGATGTCATCCTGGGTTTGCTACAACATTTTAAAAGTTGCTTTTCAATTAACCGTCATAAGTCACCGTCTCAGGAACTTCATGCCCTTTCAGGATGCCAGAACTGGAAAAGGGCAGACGTAGATAGAGGTGATAGGTAGCAGTACTGGGAGCTGTCTCTTAAATGTCGACTCTTCCCGTGTAAGGTACCAAAACCTCTTCCTAGTGAGGCCTCAGGTCTGTTAGATTTTAGAGAGTTCAACTGCCCTTCTTGTACCCCTGTGACTTTTAGTTTGAGATTTATAAATGTTAGTGCTGGGTCAAAAAGAGTCTTGAGGGGGACTGCTCAGCATACTGTCTTTGGCTTTTTTCTGACATACTTGGCTATGGATGGCAGCACTGTTAAAAACCATCTCAGTAGGTTAAGAAGTGTCCGGGCCAGAGTTCAAAGTAAACTCTGGAGTTTCTGTAGGTTCCAGGGTTTTGATTTAACAAAGTCTGTGATGCGGGTCTGTGTTAAAAAAGCCACCTGCTGTCTCTTACTAAATTGCAACATAAACCCAGTAGTTCTGTGCTTTTGTATCTTTCCCATTCCGAGAAATTAGCTGAGTGGCGCGGGTGGGTGTTAGTTTCAGTGAGTGCATTCTAGTGCCTGCAGGGATTGTCTGGGGTTCAGACTGGCTTTCCAAGGAAAATGTTCATGCCTGTGATCGAGTTGAAGGCAGCCCATGCCATGAAGCAGTTTACCATCTGAAGGGTTTTTTTTAAACGGTGAAAATTTTTCCATTCACATGGCAGTTTTGCTGCTTCATGGCTCTGTTCCTATAGTGGTACATACTGAGTCACAGAGAGCTTTCTTTCCTCTTACTTTATTCCCTGTTTTCTGCCTGCCATATGCCATCAAGAAAGTAAGAGAGCTGGGTGACCTTAAGCTCTCTGCCTAAAATGACCCTGACTGCCTCATACATTTTTAAAAAGTACTTGTTCTTACCTTTATTAAGATTTAGAAAAAAAAACCCAACAACCCACAACCTGGTTAACATATGTTCTCTAGCATATTTTGTACTTCTTTTTGTAATCTACACAAGGCCTCAGTGACAAGTGGCCTCTTTATGTGGAAATGTTTCTGAATATTAGCTTCACTTTTGAAGAACTAGAAAGATGTCAGGAATAATGCATTACTTGTGAGCAAGGAGTAGGGAAGTTTCGCATTGGAGATTTAGTTTAAATATTGGAAGCAGAATTTTAAAAAAAACACCTTTCTGAATATAATGAAGTTGAGCACTGGAGTAGATTAATTCCTTGGAAAGTTGTGGAAGTGTATCAGTAGAGTTTTTTTAGAATCAGTGAGCCACCTTTGTAAGAGGAATGTATAGGTCATTGTGATATAGGGCGTTGTTTTACCTGCTTGAGGCAAGGGATGGCCTCCACCACCTTTCAGAGTGCCTTTGTACCCACTGTCTTTGATTCTGAAATTGTTGCTTTCTGTGATTTCAGCCTGTGGAAATGGAACAGGGTTCTTTGTGTTGCTGAAAGACACATCATGGTGTCTCTGCATCATCAGTTTTCCTTGCATGACATTATTTTATGACAATTTAATAGAAAAATTCCCTACTTGTGTCTTCACATGTGGGATGCGCTGCAGTTTATACAGCCTTTATAGCTTAGTCATTAATTTCAGAAAATTATTCCTGCAATGGGTTTGTACTACAAGTATACAGGTAGGGAAAATGAGGGAAAACAGTGCCTCGTGTTTATGCCACAACTTTGTGTAGCCTAGGAAGATGTACTGATCAACTAAAAGACCAACGATCAGTACAGATGTTTAGCTTTAGTTTTGCAGTTGCTTTATTCTTTATTCTTTCTGTTTTAATTCCACTAAGTGTAGACCAGTGTCAGCAAATGAAATTAACTCAGAGGCTAAGCATTTCTCTGTTGCTAATGTTTTATCACTGTTTTGCAGGAAATTTTCAACTGGTTAAAGAGATCGTTGATGAAGACCCAAGCCAGGTCAATATTACCAATGGTGATGGCGCATCTCCATTAATGATCGCGGCTGTAACTGGGCAGCTGCCCCTTGTTCAGCTCCTTGTTGAGAAAAATGGTGATATTGACAAACAGGATAATGTTCATGGCTGGACAGCACTAATGCAGGCCACATACCATGGGTGAGAAATATGCTCTCTTTGGGTCAAGCAGTGAAGAAGTGTTATTCTTCTTATGTTCCAGTAGAAAAAAGTTTTTTGATACTGGCTCTGGAAGCAGAGCGATCTTACAAGAATTTGAGAGACTTGTGGCCTCTGTTTTCTGTGACTTCTGCACTGCCCTCAGCTTTCAGAGCAGACCTGAATGCTGTTTGGATTTAAGTATGGGTGGCCCATTTGGCAACTTGAATCTTGCTCAGTAATTGCTGAGGACATAGTGCTCCAGGCAGGCATTAGGAGGCTTGGTGCAGATTTCAACTTCCATCCTTGGATTGTTTTTAGTGTTTTGTAAGATAGTATCACCCCCTGCCAGGATTGTGAGCCTGCATTAAGTTGTGAAACTTCAAGGCAATTGCCCTTCTATGTGCTATATTTTCCAGTCTTAAAACCATTTTTATGTTCCCCTATACAGCCTTTAGTTTTCATTGAGTTTTCTGAAATATGCCCACTGGACAACTAATTGTCATTTACTCTAAAGCTACTTTATAAATGTAGGTAGGCACTTAAAAGTCAGACCTAGAAACCAGCTTGATATTTCACATGTGATCTCTATCATATACTTGGCATTGTCTGAATATAGGAAATTCAGTTTAGAGAGGTGAACTTTTCTCCATTGTTGTAGACAAAACCCTCAGGAAGATGAAGGTTCACTTCACTGCCTGGTAATGCTCACATTAATGGTACAAATGCAGATATTCTGCTTCAGCTTTCATTTTTAGTTAGCATATCCCATTGGACTATGAAAGTGCAACAAAGGGGAAAAACAGGAGGTCAAGTTCTCATTGCTTTGTGAAAATTTCCTGAAGTAGTTCCTGGGACCTACGTAAGACAAGATTCTCTGCTTCCTCACCAATGCAGTACTGATAGTAACAGTCATTTCACAGAAGTGCCTGGAGACCAGTTTATCTGGTGCAGCCGTTTAACTTACCAGCAGCCACCCCAGCGCACAGTGGAGTAGAAGCAGCCAGCAGAGTGGGATGTGCAAGGCTGCTGGCATGTCCCCTTGCCGGTCCTTAGGCACTTGTGTGTGGAAGTGCAGAGTGTAACTGAGTGCTGCATGTGTTCACATGCTGCCCTTTCGGTTTCCTGGAGGACCGTGATGGGAAGATTCCTTTCCCTACTATGTCAGTCAGTCTTTATGCTGTGAAAGTGTGTTATGAAAGTAAATTTTTTAAATACACTTAATGTTTGAGGTAGTTGAGTTTTACTAGAGACTTTGGTGTTGTTCCTGCTTATGTAAAACAATTTAAAGGGAACCAGCTCAGCAGGAGGACCAGAAGGACATCCCAGCCCTGGAACTAAAGAGTTGGCTTCTTGGAAGCTTAGAGTTGTCCATGCGGGATAAAAGATACCTCTAGTCAGCCAAGATAGCACCGGCATCATAGCCAATCTAACATGTCTTTGAAACCCTCTCAGTATTGTCTGGCATCATAGATAAATAACCATAGCAAGACTGACTCCAGGGGCACTGGATGAATAGACAAGCAGCAAGAATGCTGCAGAAATACAGCTGCTTTGCAAAGTTTTACTATGATTAGTAAATGGTAGTGTATGTGTTAGTGATTAGTCAAATCGTGTTGTACCTGAACACTTGAAGGGTACAAGAACCCTGTGTAATACCACAATTGGGGTGCATGCATGAATAAATATTTACCTTTGTAATTCTATACTTTGCATCCTAGCCTTTCGCCTTGGTCAGCATGGGCTAGTTGTGATTTTTTTTTACAAGTGGAAATCTTTAACCTCTGCAGAGCCTCAGCTGACCCTTTCTCAGGAGCTACAGCGGCATGGAGGGTATCTGGTTTGAAGGAGGGAGCAGACAAGGTCTGTGTGAGCCAGGGGTACTAAAGAATTGTGTCGCTGTGTGCCCTCAAGGTGCAGGACTGGAAAGGGCAGATAGCACAGTTTTTAAGGAAGAGAGGAAAAGTAGTGGGAATTATGCAGAGGAGCTGTGGTGGGGATAAGCAGAATTTTTCTTAGAAGAGAGGAGCAACATTTCTCCTCCATTTTCAGTTGATTTTATTTGGAGTGAGTTCAGAAGTGAAAACTTCATCTGTATGATAAGTAATGCTCTGAAGCGGAGAGGTTGAGATCTGTTTGTCAGCTTCAGTATTAGAGTTTGCAGTCACCTGTTGCTGCTTAAGAACATTTTTGTTGTGTTACTTATGCATGTCAGAGTTTGTTTTTATGAAAGGTCAGTCTCTGCTCAAGAGAAGTTTTGTATTAAATGGATTTTCCCTAGCTTTGTTGTCTGCTGGCTTGTTTTGTAGGCTGAATTAAAGTATTGTTTTTAACTCACAAGGCAAGTCGTGTGTATTTATTCAGGTGTATGAGAGGGGAGAGAGGCCAGTGGGAGTGGGATAGTGGGTTCCTTTTATGCAGCTAGCTTTTATGAGCTTTTGTTGGAAGGTGTTTGTGTTGGTTATCATTTAATGCTGATTGTGTTTGCATTTTAAATAGCTCAAGGAAGTGATAATGTGCTTTATCAATTATGTAATTTATATCTCTAATTAAATGAAGGACTGTTTGGTGTTTATAAATTATCTTCAGTCAATTTGACTTTTTTATATGCAGTTTCTTACCTGTTCTGAATATGAAGTTGTGTTGAAGTATTAGTGATGGTGTATGATGACTACTGGACTGACCTTTGTCTTTTCATCTGCTTTTTTGCCCTAGGCATTAATGGCCTTCCATTGGGAAGGTGTTTGGCAGCAAACTCCAGAGTCAGTTCTAAAGGGTCAATATAAGAAGCTCACTATTCAAGTTAGGTTTTTTTAGGCTGTCTTTCTGCATGTTGATTAGTGTAATTCATAGTGAGTTAGCAGTGACTGCCACAGGAATCATGGGAGCTTCTGAATAGCCTGTGAACAAATTTTAGACTTGGTTAGCTATAAAAGGCAAAACTGATCTCTGATTGAGGAGCAATGGTATAAAAGGATAAAAGTGGATTATTAGAGTTTTCTCTCTCTCTTTTCTCTCTTTTTTTTTAACATGAGCAATGCCTTTTTTTCTTCCCTTAAAGAAACAAAGACATTGTAAAGTATTTGTTAAATCAAGGAGCTGACGTCAATCTTCGTGCAAAAAATGGATACACAGCTTTTGACCTGATAATGCTGCTAAATGATCCAGGTATGTTATTTCAAAGAGTACTCAGAAGAGGTATAACATAAACAGATAAACATCCCTTCCAATCTAGAATATACATTAAAGTAGCTGGGCAGTATCCCCTGAGGTCTGTGCTGGACTGGACCAAGAACTGATGCTGCATGAAAACGGTGGGGTTTGAGCTAATTGGTTAGATGAGTGTATACATTTATAGGATAACAGGTTTTGCACATTCCTCTTGCCTTTGTTTTTCAAAGATGCTGCAAAATGCGTTATTTGTGTCACCAGAGCCAGTTCAGTGGCACTTGACTGTGGTGTCCCAGGAATTCTGTAGTGTCATTAGCGCAGAGCTATCAACTGGAGCTAGAAATTTCCACTCTGTAAACAGCAGTGAAGGGACAGGACAAAGAGAGTGCCATTAGAGCAAAACTAGTGTTTCCCTGGCTGAATGTCTCACTAGGTCTGTAAAGACTGAGAACAAATCACACTTCAGGGTTCAGGTTGTTTTTATGGGCGTGCTGTGGAAAAAAGCCACGTGTTCTGGGGAGCCTTCAGTGAAACACATTTAGTTTTTGTTGTAGTTTGTTTATCCTGTGTGATTTGTTATTGTTAACCTTGCCTGGTACCTGAATTGCTTTATCTGAAGCCAAAACCACTCCTGCTGATGGAATTAATGTTTGTTTTCTCTGTATTTACTCAGCATGGTGTTTTTGGTCACTAACAGATATTTTTCCTTTGTCAAAAGTGGATCACTAACAGTGTGAAATTTTAGGAAATACAGTGGATGAGGTTTTTTTTCCTTACAATTAATGTCTTGTAGGACAGAGTCCATTTGCCTTGTTACCCCTTCAGCAAGGGGATTATATAGATAAGTTCTGTCTACCCTTCTGAAAATCTTTCATTAATTCTGTATGAAATATAGATTTACAGAATATTTTTTGCTTTCCTGTCCTTGTCTCATACTTGTCCTTTTTTATCACCCTTCCTTTCTGTTTTTCTTTTTTTTTTTTGTCCACCTCTTTTACTGTGTCTTTTCAGTCCCTTCAACATCCAGGCTGAACATCTCCTTTTTCTTTGGGATTTGATTTCAAGCTTATTTTCTGCAACCTATACCTGAAGAAAGAATCTCTCTTTTTCTCTACTCTCTTCTGTGTCAGGTGAGAAAAAGGAGCATCACAACGTTGTACTTAACTTCTACAAAGTGCAAGGCGGTTCACTTTGTCACACCCGACTGATTCTGTCTGAATAGCACGCTTATTCATATTGATTAATACCTTTAGAGAGGTGATGGGTTGCAGCCCAGTGTGTGCAGAGGGCTGAAGTTGGAAGCATAGGCCAAGAAAAAAGGTTTTGAGGATTCATCTGCTTTGTGCTTGAGAGGTAGATCAATTACTACTTACTTGGGTTTTATATGGAAAGCATCAGCAAATCAGTCATAATTTGAGAAAGCAAAACAGATTAAACATGATCCTAATTTGTTTTCTTTTAGACACAGAGCTTGTACGGTTGCTGGCATCAGCATGCATGCAAGTAGACAAAGACAAGAATAAACTGAACAACAGATCATCTTTGCCTTGTACCAGAAGTAGGCAGTCCTTAAACGTCCTGATGTTACCAGATGACAAAGGAGGTCTAAAGGTAAATATATTCACTGTTCAGAAATAACCACTGTATTGTCTCCTGTATGAAGCAGAGAAGGTAATTGCTTAGAAGTACTTTGGATCTAATATGTAACTGTTTTTTTGGGGGGGATGGTGGTGGTGCTTCTGAATTCCTCATTGACAGTGCTTCCTGTTTTTATGAAATGTAGTGTGTGTTCAGCTTTCTTTTTTGCATTGAAGCGTTTTGGTGTGTAGACATAGATCTTATAATTAAGAAATGGAAGGTACCATGTTCATAAGTTTGGAACTGAATTTCAATTATGATCTTAATTTTAAATCTGCCTTTAAAATCTAAATGTACTCCAATTTTAGAAGACTGTTCTTATAGCTTTGTTTTTTAATTTAAATTGGAGTGGATGTGTTATGGGGGTTTTGTTTTTTCAATGACATCCTTTCAAGTTAAGCTTTTTGGCCAGTAAATTTCCAGATTTGCCTCTTTGGGGTAAGAGTGATTACATATCTACTTTTTGCCTGATTTCTGCAACTTCTTCCATCCTATTAACTTATCTTGAAGGTAATCAATATTTTTTCAGAGGTCATGTTGTCTATAATTACTGTAGGGTAATTTTAATCAGTCTTGTCTGGTTTTAATTCACATAAGCTCATTTAAATGTTCTTACTCTATTAAGCAAATGCACATACATTCCTACCTTCCTCCTGCTAACAGTATTCATACTAAAATATCTGATAACAAGTAGGCTGCTTTTGAAGTTTTAGAAAAAAACAAACCCTTTCTGTGTCTCCTGTTTGATCATTTTTGTCAGTAACTAGTAGACCTTTTATCTTGTTGTGTGTTTCTTTTATTTATAATTTATGCATAATACAGGCCCGTGTTCCTTCACTTACCAATTATGTAGTGGATAACCATGATGTCATTCTTTATCACTTTCACACAGAAACTGTTAACTACTTTGTTTCTCACCATTTTGTAAACTTGAAAAGAAAGTAGTGCCTTTTCTATGTACAAAAATTCTATTTCCTCTTTTCTTCCTGCCTGTGCTTCTTCAGCAAGTTTTACTCTTAATGTCAGTATTAAAGCAGTATGAATTACCACATTCAGTTTCTTTTTGTTGTTGTTTGAGGGCAGAGATTTCCAATTGTTCCCTTTATTCTTTCATTCCTAGTCTTGTTACAAAAGTCTAAGGGATGTCTCAAGTGGCAACACCATTTTTCTGTTCATTGATACTGTTGCCGTCTTCGATTGCTACTAGATTTCAGCCATTTGACAGACACTGTTTTTGACCATACATGTATTTTTGTTACATGCCTGCTTCAGTGCAGTTTAAAAAAGCCCTTTCTTCCTGTATGTGTGTGATGTGGTTGGGTATATGGAGAGGCCACAACCTTCTGCAGCAGCAGACGGGAAACTCCAGAGCTCAGACCACCATGCTCTTAACATCAGAAAACCAGATGAACCTGTCCACTGTTGTTCTTTTCTTGGCGGAGAGCAGTAGTTTTTTATATGGTAACATAGTGGCAGTACTTATTCAGTCTCAGGTTAGTCTGTGGTGTTAGCGTATGGTAACAAAGCAGAAGCACTGTGAAGAAGAGTAACGAAGACTCTAGGAAATTAGGAGTGATTCTTGTCACAGAAGCAAGCTAGCTTCAGTGGACAAAAGCAAACTGCATTGTGCAAGCAGTCTCCTTTGTAAGCTCATTGTACTCTATGTTAAAACCAGATGGATTTTTTGCCCTTTCAGTTCCTTTTGGACAGTGAATAAATGCTGAACTGTGTGGGTTTTACTGCTTTCTCGGAACTATTTGTCTCTCTTGCCTTTTTCCATCAGGTCTTTGTTGCTGAAAGTAATGTAAATCATTATTAGTTATGGCTCCAAAGAGATACAAAGGTCTGAGAACTGGGTCCATTACTAATGCTCTGTGCAGATTTAAAATAATTTTAATGATCATCTGCTAGAAGGATTGATTTACAGGGAATAAGTTTGCAGTTTATATTACTTACTTCTCCTGTGTGACAGTTGGGAAGACATCTATCATTAAGCAGTTGAAAAATGTTAAATGCCAAGGAGAGAGAGAGGAATACGTATGGTGGGACAGAATGGCTAAGAATAAACTAGGAAAGTGTGTTTCCTGGATTGGCTATCACTTAAAGCTGCCTTGATGAATTATCATCACTTTTACATGATTTTATTATTTTTTTTTAAAGTGTTCCAGAAAGGTAAGAAGTTTTAGGAAGAAATAACCAGAAGGTATTTATAATCTGACTGATTTACCTACAAGCCACATAAACTTTAATACAGATTACATAGGTCTTCTTAACATAGCCTATTGGTCTCATATAGTCTAGGGAAATGTCCTGCTAAATACTTGAAGCATCTTGCACTGTCTGTCTGTAAAAATATGTAAGTCTGAAAATACTTGGATAAATTTTATTTTGAGCGAAGATGGTCCTTTTGTGTGACAGTTTCCACGTATGTGATACCTGTATGGATGGAGGTTGTAGGTGCAGTAGTACTAAAGTTTGTGTTATTTTCACAGCTGGTATTTCCTCGCCTTGCTCTTTCTCAGTTTATAGTCTTTCTAGTCTGGCAGGGTTTAATTTATCTGTATAGCAGCACGGTATGGATTGTAGATCCTTAGTTTGACAAGAATACTATCAGAACTCTCCCAGTTTGCCACTGATTTTGAAAATCTTAAGGAGAAGCCTTCATGCAGATCAGATAAAATTCTATGCCCACCTCTAGAAAGCAGAAAATACACATCTCAGTTCATTGATGCCAGAGAGTGTAAGAATGGATGGTGAAATTGGAAGTTAATAGGAAGATGAAATATTTGAGATGTAGCTGTAAAAATTTCCTATCCAAATTGCCCTAATACTTTTATCTACCTTGTCTTTCCAGATAGTGTGAAAATACATTGTAAGGCATATGCCAGATGAAAAATAAGGCATGAGATTAATCTTATGCATACAAATTATGGTGAAGTATTCTGTTGGTAATTGCAAACCACTTGAACATTGCTTTTGTAGTTTATCTCAAAAACTCCTTGATAGGTTTATCACCGCTGTAAGAATTACTTCATTGGATGTTTCTTTTCCTCTTTTTTTTTTTTCCTCCTTTTATTTGGAGCTAAATTGTTGTCTTCTTATCAATCTAGTCCTGGTGGAGCAGGATGTCGAATCGATTCCGCAAGCTGAAGTTGACTCAGACGTTGCGCCATGGATTTCCTTCCAATCAGTTTGTGCCTTTTCCTGATGAGCCTGAACCATCATTAAATTCCACCATAAAAGCAGTTTCACAGAGTGATACGGACACCTCTGGAAACCTCGATGCTGCTACAGCATGGATCACAAATAACAAAGCTAGTGGTAAAGCCAGAGTTGTCCTGTGGGAAGTGGGCTCTTGTGGGATTGTCAAGATGATACTATTTCTTATTTATTGATTTAATTTTTTATTTTACTTAACTGAAAAGACATGAAATGTATATGTAGTATATATAGAGAGAGACGTTTGTACTCCTGACTGTTGATCATGCTGAATGCTGAGCACAGCATCATTTAAGCAGGAAAATGCTAATATAGCAACATTACTGCTCTGTAGGAAGCACCATTAAATTGCACAGTAGAGACAGGTCACTCAAAAGTTGTTAGTATCTTTGATGAGCTAATTTATGTAGTGAAAACAAATTTATTTAAACAAATAAAGAAATAATTCTGAGAAGAAAGAGGGATTGGAAAAGCCCAAATTGTAAAGCACATCTACTGAAATTGTACAGCTCTCCATGCCACACCTCCACAGTTTGTGATGTGAAATAAGACTATTGACTTAACTTTAATTTAAGTACGTGACAGTACCACTGGAGATCTTGGCTCTGTGTGCTTACTGAGGGTAAAGCTGTTGAATGTTTGAAAACAATGAGCTATCCTTGAGAACAAAAGTAGGATTGCATATAAACAGTAAAACATAATTTATGTTTTTTCAGGTGTACACACTGCAAAAGGAGGAAAGGATGATGAATTATTGACAACCATGGTATGTTGCAGTGTTCTTGGTGTGTTCAACCCAATTCAGAAAGTCATGCAGGTCCTGTAATTCTTTTTTTTTTTTTCCTCACCTCCTGTCCCAGTCATCATTAGAAAGGGAGCTGTCATTTGTTAATAGTCACTAGACAAGAACTGCCAGGCTGTGATACTTGAGTAGTTCTTAGACTAGGAAGTATTACAAGTACTCTGGTATGGAAGCTGTTGACAAGCACTGACTTTTTTCAAGAGTCATCCATACCTTTGTATGATCAGTAATTAATTAGTAAAGCAGGTAGAATAGATGATTAGGTTGCTGACAAGCAGTATGGTATGAGGAAAACATGGATGGAACATGGTATAATGTGAAAGTAAGAAATTACTTTTAGAAGCAGTTATGAAATATTTAGTTCGGGATGTTTATTTGTGTTATTCTGTTTCTTCTTTTGTTATGCTGTAGCTTTAAATTCCCCAGCAGCTTACTCCCTGGAAATGTCTTTAAATTTGGCTGGTTATCCTTTATGTTCTTTTTTAAGAAGACTGAGTAACTTTTGTTGTGCCTGACTGACAGAACTCCAGGGAGCTGAATCAGTTACATTGTTTTTTTCTCTTTCTGGAGAACGCATACAGCAGGAACAGGCAGTTGATCACTGTTTCTGGGTGTCCTGTCTGAGAATACAGAGGACTACCTTGTTATTTCTTTGGAAATTAATTGTTAACATTCCGGATAAAATCAATTTGAAGCAAGATTCAGCCCAATGAAGGAGGAGACAGTTTCTGCCATTTAATGGACTATTTTCACTGTATTAAATGAATGTGCATACTGACAGGTGCCAGAATGTCCATTGGATTCTGTCTGTTATTATGTGTTGTACATCTTCACCAGTACTGCTTTTGTGTATAGTTTCCATTTTATTTTGTTTAAAAATGCATTTGTCTCCATCTTTTTATTGAATTTACCATTTTGAAAATGCATGATCAGCTCCCAGTAATCTTTCTTAATCAGAGGTTGTTTTCTTTTTCTCTTTCTTTGTTTCCCTCTCTCAGTTGAGAAGTAGCGCTCCATTCACTAGGCTGCCCAGTGATAAACTGAAAGCAGTGATACCACCTTTCTTACCACCCTCAAATTTTGAGCTTTGGAATTCTGACCGAACACGAATCAGCAAAGATGGCAAAGCTGAACAGATGAGAACTGCCTGGCCACAGAGAGCAATCAAGCATGATTTTAACAGCAGTGGGAACTCCGATATAGTAAGCAAACATAATGTGTACAAAAATACTGTGTTATGTCCAGGCCATGTTGACTGGTGAGCTACACTGCTTTTCTGATTAGAAACTACTTTAAGCGCCCTGTCTCAGTAATGGCTTGTCCTTTTAAGCTCTGTTGTTAGCAAGAGTACACATCTCTATGGAAGCAACATAAGCAAAACAAAAATTTTGTGTGAAATGAAACAACTTGCTGTTAACCAGAAAAAGTCTGGACCTAATAAATTTTCTGCAAACTGCTGAAGTGACTGCTGGTTCCACCTATATGTTTTAGTTGCCAAAATAGGTGCAGTCATTGGAGTATGGCAGAAACTGCTCTGGTTTGGAAGAAGACTAGAGGCAGAAAAAAAGAATGAAAATTTCACAATTTTTAGGAACTGAATGGGGAGAGAAGAAATATCAGTGAGACATAAATATACAGACATAATATTCTGAAAGAGTAGTAATTAGATACGATTGTAGCAATTAGTGATCAACTGGGCTTGAAGGCATACAGCCTTAAAGTGCAAGTACTGTAAATAGGGAAAAAATCTGAAGAAATTTTATTTTTTAAAGGAGCTTGCCTGATTCTACAATGTTTTTAGTGAAAATGCAAAACAAAATAGTTCATTTGTCCTGAGGCAGGAAGCAAAACAACCTCGACAACCTTTGCTTTCATAGTTAGTAGGAGAAAAAGTAGAAGTGCTTACTCTCCTGACTTCAGACTCTAACAGCCAAGTGTACAGAAGAATTAATTTTGCTGGTCTAGAACTGTATTTTGTGTCAGTTCTAGAAATGGGACAATGAAGACATTTCAGGAGGAATTTTTCCTGTCTTCCTTTTTTAAGTGGAAGTTAGTTTAACACCAGTAGAGGTGATTTAGGTTGAATAAGGTGGAGTATTATAAGGGAGGTGATAGACCGCAGGAAGGTAAATGTTTGTTCATCATCCTAAAAAAGACAATTGTAATAACATAAGTGGATAATTGGCACCTGTACATAAAGTGAGGAGCAGGGGAAGTAGGAGAGGGCTGGCCATTGATCCTTCATGGGGATAGATGGGCTTTCCTAAGGGAATAGGGAGAAGGAGAGAAAGCTAGTGAGTCAGAGTTGGAATAAGTGATGTGAACAACAGGATAAGAAACATGAAAAACCTGAGCTGCAAGAGCCATATGTCAGATGGTTGGCAGGGGCCAGTGGTATTAAAACAAAAGAACTGAATCATGAAATCATAGAATGGTTTGGGTTGGAAGTGACCTTAAAGATCATCCAGTCCAAACCCCTTACCATGGTCATGGACACTTAGCACCAGACCACGCTGCTCAAAGCCCCATCCAACCCGGCCTTGAACACTTCCAGGGAGGGGGCATCCACAACTTCCCTGGGCAACCTGTGCCAGTGTCTCACCACTCTCACAGTAAAGAATTTCCTCCTAATATCTACTCTAAATCTACCCTCTTCCAGTTTAAAACCATTCCCCCTTGTTCTATTGCTACCTGCCCTTGTAAAAAGGCCCTCCCCAACTTTTCTGTAGATCCTCTTTTAGTACTGGAAGGCTGCTATAAGGTCTCCCTGGAGACTTCTCTTCTCCAGGCTGAACGACCCCAGCTTTTTTGGCCTCTATTGAAGGAAGATGTGCATGTAGCTTAGAATTTGGCTAGTGTATAGCTAGATCACTAGTGCCTCAGTTAACAGAAGTCAATAAAATGGTGCAGGTAGATTTTTAGATTGAAGGGCTATGAAAGCGCAACCAGAGGAAAGTTCATGTCACTTGTTGCAGGTTAGTTAGTAAGAGACAGGGACGTGATGGCTCAGAAGTAGGTGGTACCTGTTTTGTAAGATGGGAGAGACAGAACCAGGATTCTGCAGGAAAGAAGTTTCACATGTTATTATTTTTTTCCTCCACTTCTCGTAACACTGTGTATTATCTCTCAGTTGTTTATGCTTACTTTGTGTTGGCTAAACATTAAGGAGAATTAATGTCTTAATTATGGCGTAATTTCTTTTGTTGACTATATATATTCAATATATATGTATGTTTATATAAATATATACTCAATCTATAAATAAAATAAGATTATTTTTGATACCCCTTTTGTTCTTCAGTGGAAGTTTCAGAACTTACAATACATAAAATACCAGTTGAAGTTTGATCTTAGCTTTGCTCAAATAAGAAAGATGAAAATTACTTTTCTTTTTGTTCAGACATCTGTTAGCAAAGGTGCTAGAGCAGTCAAATTACCAGCATTTGCAAGAAGACCTGCATCTCCTTCAAATTCCAACAACTTCAACCATTCTCCACATTCTTCTGGTGGATCCAATAACATTGCGGGAATTAACAGGCATGGAGGAGAACTGCATAACAGATCAGGTGCCATGCTGCATTTATTTTTAGTAAATCGTTTGAATCTTGTTCAGCTACAAAAATAGCATTTGTGATAATGGTAGAAGGTATTTTTTCTGAGGGCTTCTACTACTGTATAAGCAGTATTCTGTACATTTGGTTGGAATAGGTTTGGACTTTGGGCACATACTTAAGGGAACAAAACCCTCAAATTTGTTGTGGGAGTTTCATAGGTTAGCCCCTGTCTCAGAAAAACTGTGCTGATTTTATTGACTGTATTAGGTGGATGCTTCTCCATTGCAACACATTTTGTAGAGCTGTCTATTTTTCTTATCCATGTTGCTTACTTTTTGTTTGAAATAACTATCAGTTTCCAGTTAAAAACAAAGCTGCAAGCATTGAATCTGGCAGCTATAAAGACAGTAATGTGAAGCAGCTCATGAAAACTGTATCAAAAGAGTATGAAAGTCAGCTCTGTGTGTGTGTAGACAAGGCTGGCTTCTCTCTTCTGCATTTGATTTTCGTTCCCTTTCCTGACAGCTGCTGAACAGGTGTGAAGCTAACAGTTCTCTCTTACTTCACCCAGTCAGTTTTTCAAAAACAGTGAATAGTGGAGAGAGGTGAATTAAGAATTAACAAATATTTTAAAATTATAGTTTCCTTGACTCTGCTTTCATTTTTTTTTTTCTTAGGTGGCAGTGCAGATAATGTTTTGTCTCAGATTGCAGCCCAAAGAAGAAAAGCAGCAGGCTTACCAGAACAAAAACCCAGCCAGCAGCATAGTCCAGTCCAGTCGACTCCTTCATCCACCCTGTCTGATTTGCAGTGTGCTCAAATTGTTGGCAATGGACACATTGTAAAGGTACAGGGAAATGTAACTTTTTGTTCTTACAAACTGCTTAATTTTAATAGGTCGTGTCTCAGTCAGGGATGATAAATATAACTGCATGACATTATTACACAGGCTAAAATGAAGGAACTCCTGTTACAGTAGGGGGAACTTTTTTCAGCTTCACAAACCTTCCTTTTAATTCCAAGTCTACGAAATAGCAATCCTAATAGTTAAACATGATTTTGCTTTATTATTAATTTCACTCTGTTTTAAAAACAGTAAATGGAATACTTCATCTTAGGGTAGATCTGCACTGTTGTTTTGTTTTCTCGTTATTTCTTCCTGTGGCCCTGATTGAGTCTAGTATTTTGTGGTACTCCTGGGCTTTACTCTGAAGTGATACGACCGGTTTCCCTCCAACGGCACAACCTGAGTGCAGAACATGAGATAATTTATACCAGGATCTGCCCACCACAACAGTATGTGTATATGCAGTCTACAGAGTGTTATTTTTAAACAGTATTAAGTTGACATCACCAAAGTCAGGTTTTGCTCTTAAATGCAGGCTGTCTTATCTGTGCTGACTTACCCATCAGTTTCCTGGAATAGCTTTACCTGCATGACTTGCCCATTTCTGTGAATGTACTTTGAGGTTAACAACTGCTTTGTACGAAATTTTTAAGGACTAAGATTTTAAATCTTCAAAATCTGCAGAAACACAAGTTAGAAAGCAACATCACAACAGAAGATACACTATTGTGAAATGTGTGGGCTTACTCACACAGGGAAATACTACATTTCAGAGTGCAAGAGAAAGAAAGCATAAAATTTAGAGGTTTAGTTCTAATGTCTGGTATTCTGAAAATGTAAGAATACATGACCAAGGGCAAAATTTCTCAACTTTTTTGCCTCTGTAATCTACAAACAGCTTGTTTTGTTTTATTTTGTTTTCTTTGCATCTTTTCATAAGTTTCTTTCTTGAAGTTTTGCCTGAAGAAACAAAAATGACTACAGTATAACATTAATACATATGCTATCTTGTTCTGTGATGTCTTATATAGCAACAGAAAGCGATATGTATGTTTAATTAAATGATAAATGAGGTTACAAAATTGTTTAGTGATTTAATAGAAATTTTTGGAGGACAACATTTAGAAAAAGAAAAGCATGCAACTACCAATGCCAGAACAGTTTCCATGAACAGTTACTTTGTCTCTGATTTATCAGTGCTGATTCTGAAGGAACTACTGATACTTTTCAAAGATTGAGAGCTAAAATTTGCAACACTGCTAGACCCACAAAAGCTATGGACTCATACTGGTTCTTTGGCATATGCTAATGTTGCCTCCCTTTCTACCCCACATAACTGCTCTCTGGGTTATAAATCTGTCTCTTTCTCTTTGGTAGGCAAAGCCACTTCATTATCCTCTTCCCTCATTAAAGTTTCCTCTACTGAATAGCTACCAAATGCTTTTTCTTTCAGAAGTGGTCTGACCAATATATTTTTAATTAAACTCCCAGCAGTTCCTCTCAGCTTGTTTTTATCTTGGAAATAATTTCAGAAGAGCTGTGTGGGTGCCCCCCAAAAATCTATGTTTTCTCCAGTTACGTTAGTTAGCCTATTAAGAGATATGACCTGTGCTGCTGAGCTTTGATCTTGGGGCCTGTTGTTACAGCAGTGCTCCCATTAAGAAGTTTGGCTGTTATTCCCACTCATAGTGGAAGGCTTTACAGAATCACAGAAAGTTAGGAGTCAGAAGGGACCTCAAAAGATCATCCAGTCCAACCCCCCTGCCAGAGCAGGATCACCTAGACCAGGTCACACAGGAACGCGTCCAGGCAGGTTTTGAATGTCTCCAGAGGAGACTCCACAACCTCCCTGGGCAGCCTGTTCCAGTGCTCTGTCACCCTCACAGTAAAGAAGTTTTTCCTTATGTTTAGGTTGACTCTCCTGTGTTCCAGTTTGTGGCCATTGCCCGTTGTCTTATCACTGTTTAAGTTTGCTACGTGTTTCTGGTTAATCCAGCATGAAGTGCTACTTTAATTAGCATCTGATATACTTTGAAAAGCTTTAACTGAGGCTTTATTTGTTTAATTAAATCTCTGAATGAAAATTACTTGTTTTCAGAGTCAAAGTAGTTTCAGCTTTTGTAAAAAGAGTAACTGTAGTGCTTATATATAGTATTGCTTTATAAGAAATAATTTTTTGATTCCAAAATTGCAGCCTTAATAAATGTATTTTTTCTTGATGAATTTGAGGGGACAGACTCTCACTTGGGATAAATCAGTATTGCTCAAATTATTTTAATGTGAATCTGGCAGAAGCTTGTAGTTGTGACTACATGCTCTGCAGAAATAATGTGCAGCTTAAGTAATATTGACACATCCTGTATCAATATACTTTTTTAACTTTAATGATTGTATCATTAACTACAGCAAAAACTGGAGATGAACAAAAGACCTCCATCTGGGACTTCATCTACATCTAAAAGCACGTCACCAACTCTCACGCCTTCTCCATCACCCTCCCCGTCTCCTAAGGTTCACAACGCAGAGTCCTCTCTCTCTTCTTCTCACAGGCAGGCCAAGAGCAATGGTTCAAGCAGTGGTACTATTACAGAAGATGGTGAGTAGTCACTGTGATTACAGGAGATTCATTCATCAGGAGCACTCATCGAAGTGTTTAAAGCTGTAGCTGTAGTGGATTAGTGTTTCTCTGCATGAGAGTGAGAACTATTTTCTTTCTAGATAAAATTCTTTGGTGTTTCTTACTGCAAGATTGGCATTCCTGCAGTAACTGTGGCTATTTGTCTCCCAAAAGCTGTGAACCCTTCCATTTAGAGGGAGATTGGTACCATCTCAAAGCTAGCATAGAGCACATAGGTCGCTCTTCTGTGGCCTCCTTCCTTCCCCCCTTTCTGGCTTAAATCCTGTTTTTCACCCTTTGCTGAGGGTAGAAAATGCACTTTCTCCGCATTTGAAATGAGGTTTTTTTGTGATAAATGCAGTGAAGTACATTACTACAGAAATACAATTTTGATTCATAGCAAGTCAGCTACATGCAGTTGAGTTTTAAGAGCTGTATTGCATTTATTTTTAAAAATTGCAAAAATAGTCTCATTTTGATCTTATTTTTTAAGTTTAAGTCATAACAAAGGATAATGTTACTACTTTTCCAATAAGGTTACTACTGTTTAAGTTGAACTTTTAGGTCTAAATTACAACACTTATTTTAAAGTTCTGCATTGGAAATAGGATATCAGTTACTTTGTTTTCTTCTGTAAACAACTCAAAAGTGAAAAAATGACCCAGCATCTTTTCAATAAGAAATGGAGGTACCTTTTATCTGGTTTCTGCAGGAGGCACTTTGTACTAATTTTGGTTTCTTTGAAACTGTCCGTATTGATTTTGTTTTCATTTATGCAAACTTTGTCCATTGACACTGTACTGATATTTAACACTGGAGAGGTGTGATGTTTGACCCACCTTCTGTCCACTTATCATGGCTTAACTGTAGCATCCTGTACTGCCTGCTGGAGAAAATCCTTTCACATCTTAGTTAGTGCCATTTTATAAAGATGGCTTGATAATAAAAGAGTTGTTGGTTCAGAAACATATAAAGTGAAGAGAACTTGCTGCCAGATAACAAGGAGAATTCCCCAAGCTATCAGTTGCAATCTCACCTGGAGAAGCAGGGCTTTGTGACTGCACCGCCAGTGCCAGGATACAGTGAGTTTCCTCTGTAGCAGAGGGATAGGTTGTCAGATCCTAAGTAGTTCTGGGTTCACAGAATCACAGAATCGCTCGGTT